TTTGGAATGTTCGAGTTTGTACGCATGCCATTTGGCCTGAGGAATGCGGCACAAACATTTCAATGATTCACGGATAACCTACTTCGAGATATGTCATTTGCACAGGGGTATATAGGCGATTTGTTAATTGCCAGCCCCGATTTATAATCACACAAACAGTATGTGAGAGCAGTGTTAAAACGGCTAGATATATATAGGATAAACATACATCAAAGTAAGTGTGTTTTCGGTGTTCGAACTCTAGAATTTCTGGGGCACATAATAAGCCTAGAAGGGATTACTGTGATAATTAGGAGTATTTGAATTATAGTATAAACTAATAATCCCAGAAATAACACGGATGGATCAAGAAGTATTAGATAAACACGAGCGAATGTACTGTATTTGGAATTCGAAATCAAGCATTTAACAAGCACAAAGGAATCATTAGTTCGTTCAAACACCACATTCAAACACCACGTTTATTAAAGAAGCTGAAACCACCAAACAATACCCCATACCTATTTCTCTAACACAACTTAGAAGTTTTCTAAGTCCAATTAACTTTTATCGCAGATTCATACCCGGTTGTGCACAACTAATGCAACCTTTGACAGATTCACTTGAAGAAAAACCAGGATTCAAATTGTCTTCTGAGGACGTTAAAGCTATTAAACAGGTAAAAGATAAACTGGCTCAGGCATCAACGTTGATGTATCCGAATTCTCTTTCTCCACTTGCTTTGATGGAGGATACTTCGGACAATGCAGCAGGCAGTACGCTTAACCAACTGTTTTAAAACGCCTGGATACCAAATGCTTTTTTCTTATAAAGACTCTTTCCAACAGAGACAAGGTATTCTACCTTCGGGCGAGAACTTCTTGCAAACTATCTAAACTTTAGGAATTTCCGACACATGTTGGAAGGCAGGGAATTCATAGTTTTTTCGGATCACAGACCACTGACCAATTCACTAAAAGCGAGAGCCGATAAATACTCACCTCAAGAAGTTTGACAACTTAACTTTAAATCATAGTTCACAAGTGATATTCGACATGTCGAAGGTCAGGAAAATCAGATAGCAGGCGCATTATATCGACTGGAAATGAACGTGATACAACAGTCTACAGTAAATTTCGACACTATGAGAGACAAGCAAGAAGAGGATCGAGAATTAAGAAACCTACTCACAACAAGTAACTCTAATCTCAAACTAAAGCAGTTGCCATCGCCTATTGATGGTATTCTGATTTGCTGTGACAAATCCAAGTTAATGCAGAGACATTTCATCCCCCAAATTACACGAAAATTAATATTTAATAACTCACTCTTTGTCTCGTCCTGGCGCAAAAGCTTCGACTAGACTAATCAATGCCAGATATATGTGACCAAATTTACAAAAGGACATACACAAATGTGATGGAGAGTGTTCGGCGTGGCAACACTCAAAAGTCACACAAATCCATCTATCGGCGTTTTCTCACAACCAGATGAGCATTTGCCAATGTGCATATCCACTTGGTAGGACCTTTCCTGCGCTCGAATGGTTTAAATTATCTGTTTACATGTATAGATCGATTCAAGAGAATCCATATAGCCATACCGATGATGGACATCACAGCTGAAACAATGGCCGAAATTTCCATGCAGAACCGGGTGACTATTTACGACACACCCATAACAATAACGACGAACAGAAAAATAGAATGTGAAGCTAAGCTATTGTACAACTTAGCGAAACTCCTAGGCTCCAATAGGATACGTTGCAATGCATATCACCCTCAGGCTAATGAGATGGTAGAACGTTTTCACCGTCAACCAAGGGCTGCCCTTATATCACACTCAAACCCCAATCAGCGGGCAGAATTCCTGCCATTAGTTATGTTGGGAATACGAACATCTGTCAAAACTAATCCGCAGTGTTCAGCAGCGGAAATAGTTTTCGGTACGACTCTAAAACTACGGGTTGAGCTTACTAACCCTCACACTGACAGTAAAAAGCTTGATTTAGAGAATTACGTAGACCAACTACGGGACCATATGTCCAAACTCGAACCAATAATTACTCGTGAACAATTGCGAGCGACATATGTATCTAAGGATCTAAACAATTGTGCGCACGTCTGGATAAAATGTGACAAAATAAAAGCACCACTTAGCTCTCCATTCAGAGGTGCTTTCAAAGTTATCACAAGGATATCTGAATATTTCAGATAGAAAAGCAAGGAAACATTAACTCCGTAAGTATTGATAAGCTAAAACAGGCTTATCTAGATCATGAACCACCAAATATGTTAGACCATTTTCCCGACAAAACAATTACGGAATCGACGAGTAAGAACGATAAATTTGCTAAAAAGGTTAGATGGGCACAGCCGATTATTCAGTTAAGGGTATCTAAAATTTTGGCAGCAGTCTAAAACGTAACCACATATCTACAAAGATCTTGTGTTTATTTAACTAAAAATATTTTTCCGTACCGCTGCACCTATTTTATTTAATTAACAAAAGCATTACAAAAAATGTAGTAGTCTGAAATATTACGCTTCCCACATCTCAGATATTCTTCTTTTGATGGATGAGCGTTATATTCATTTTTTAATACTGAATACGTAAACTATTTATCCCTAAACAACCGCTTAGTAATATAAGTCGAAAACATGTCAGAAGGGGTAAGTCGCAAAAAGACGAAGAATCTTTAACTGAGGTGAGTGGTGGGAGCAAGCTTCGCCTGCCAAATTAACCTTTTACTTAGATCTTGACACTAATAGTAGACAATCAGAATGTTGGATGGAAACATCGAATAAATCCTCTGTGAACAAGTTTGATGAACCCAAATATTAAACCTCCGCAAACACGACAAATTCCAAAAATAATACAGATGTCTACGCCGTATCTATTTTCTTCCAGATTACCAATCCGTTCTGGAAGCCAAACACTTGGAACCAAAAAATTGCCAATTATATTTGTATTTCTTTCTTGTCCCTTATTATTTTATACAGGCAATGGAGCAGTTCTTCAGGTAAGACTGGTTCTCATCATTGCTTTTGAAGCAGATTCCTCTTTATTATTTTACTTGAAGGCGACTCAAGAGGCAGTTGAGTAAACACCAGATAGTCGGACAGAGTATGGAAAAACCGTACCTCTCTAACATGGTGCTCGATAGCCCGCTCGCGGCACTTCTCCAGATATTCTTGTTTCATTTTCATTATGATGTTGTAGCAGGTTTATACCATTGATTTGCACAGAAACATCTGCAACAACGAAGATCCTGTAGCTGAATTTCCGTAAATCCACGTTAACGTACACATGTCTCTTACTACATTTAGCGATCGTTTTCATATTTGTAGTGGTCAGTCGCTAGAACTCGTAAGAGGAACGCTAAATTCTGCTCCAGTATCGACGAGGTAGCGAACTTTTGCTATTACGTCAGTGCTGTATAACAGACGACTGTGTTTGCCGGCCACATTTGCCATTAACGCATGCCAGATGGGAAGTTTCCCAAAATGCTTTTTCGTGTCGGTTGGCTTGGGACTTGGAGAATAGCATGGTTTTCTGCGACCTCGAGATTTTCCGCACTGATTTTGATACCAACACCGATGAGGGTTATCCGTATCTCGTAGTTTAGAGATAAATTGTCTTCATGAAGTACTCCTGAGAGACGTTTGAGAGTGTCCAAGGTAATGACAAATACTAATGTAACGTGTTAGAACATGACAGAGTTCTTCGATGTCATTTCGTGTCATGTATGCTTTATCCTTGGCTTAACAAACCTTGGCGTTTGATGTCCTGAAACTCTCCAGAATTCGGTCGGCAGATGCCGCTATCTGATATACAGCGTTGTTTTGAAATGAAACAAGCACTACCTGAACCTGTTAAGGAAGCTTAGACAAGAAAAGTTGTCTAAACATGCCATCGTCGAAGGTCCGTTAACCAATGATCTCTCTTATTAGTAACAAATGTTCGTTGCTGAGCCAGGTTGTGGATTGATGTTAATGGGGAGTTTATCTAGCAGTCGTCGATAGACTAGATCTCCACGCTTAAGAATAGCGTTTTTAGATTTTCATAAGGTTTCAAGACATCACTAGTAAACATACCAGGTGTGATGTATCTGTTGAAATCGCGCGGTAGTGTCTTCACTACTGCAAGGAATTGTGCACATGTATGTGTTACGCTGTGATCGTGGAAGTCAGCTTCAGCGTAGCAGAACCAGGCTTCGATGTTGTCGAGCGAAAATGGCTCAAAATTCTTCACCCTAAATAATTTTAGTAGTCTGTTAGGTCACGATAAATATAAAGTATGGCAATAAACGAAGAAAAAAATCCAAAAATACGAAAAAATATCACAATATATAAAAATTAATGAAAGGCTGATATAAAGCCATGAAGAGGAACAGATTCGCGTTTTATAAATTGATGTACCAGATCACTCCAGGCTCACCACTACAGATGCCACGAGTATTCGGAGTTTGACAATACCTTAACCAATAACACGTTTTATAATCAACATGTGCCAACCATGTGAAGTCAAAAGACAGAAGCGAAGGGGTTCGAGGATATATTTGACAGAATATCGATATATCGAGAAGTGATCAATCTAATCTGGCAAGTGGTTGTAGGAGAAGTGAGGCGTGGCATACCCACTGGTGATCTGGTGCAAGCCCTTCAGCTAGGTGAGGACATTAAAACTCATGTGGTCGGAATCAAATGTCGAAGACTTGCAGAACTATTGATTTTGGGGATTTATTTACCTTTAAAAGTCGAACAGAGTTCTTTTAAATGTTGCAGATTATCTTTTGTGACGAGAACCATCTAGCGAAAATGTACGTCCAAGACTTCATACTGAATGCTTCCAACTACTCTTAATCACCCTCTTGCTCATATCAGAGAAATTTTATCTAAATCATCCCCAATAAGATATCTGTAACATATAATATAGAAAAGGGTTGTTCGTCATCTTTGTTGGTCAACCTTTTACTCTTTCAGAGCCATTCTCCGATTAAGATAAATATATAAAATTATCTGATTCGTTGTTCACATATTGGGTCCAGAAATGATGAAGTTTTACTTACCCCCGATTGAGGATTGACGTTTCCGATTTATTTGTTTAAGTACTTATCACAACCTCAGAGGGCACATTGTACGGGGGCATGGTAAGTGGCTGCTGTTATAAGTTAGGGTTAATGATGTATTATTAGACTCGTAAACGAAGGAATCACGGTAGGTCAAAGAAAGGCCGAGGTCACGTTGGATTCATACGTTGTACAAATTGTGGTCGAGCATGTCCTAAAGATAAATCTGTATGGAAATTAGTGACACGAAGTATGGTTGAAGCCGCCGCCGTTAAGGATTTGGAAGACGCGTCGGTGTATGGCAGTAAGTCTCGTTTTAAATGCGTTGTTGGACATGGATACGTTCCGGGTCATGAGCAGTCCAGAACCACTCAATGTCCTAGAGTAAAATCAGCTTTAGCAGAGTCAGTTATTACAGTACCAACTGACACAGATACGGGCTGTACACTTTTTAAAATATTAGATTCCCATTTTTAAGTGGTGTTCACTGCCAACCTAATGTTTTTCTATGCTTTATTACAGAAAACTACGCCGTCCCCAAGTTGTACGTCAAACTTCAGTACTGTATCAGTTGTGCCATCCACAGTAAAGTTCTTCGAAATCGTAGTCGGGAATCAAGGCGTCTCAGAAGGATTATAGTTAAACCTCGAGTAAAGTTCTCACGTCCTGTTGCTCCAAGGGCATGATTGCATAAATAAATCACATTAATTGGACTTTGCTTTTGATTTTTGTCTAAATAGCTCAGTTGGTATAATAAAAGTATTGTGTTTGTCGGTCAAAATCCGTCACTTCTATTATTCCTGACATGTGTGTGTATTACTCAGTTTAGTTGTATTCAGAATTCCTATCCGTTGTTTCGAGTGTACTTTTTCGACTGAGCAGTTATCACTCATCCGATCGTATTCGTAAGTACAATGTTCTTTAGATTGTGTTTACATATAATTCACGCCTGCATTTTAAGGACGGACGTTTGCACTAGGCTAATGTGTTAACGACAGGACTAACAGTGTGACTGCAAAATCAGGTCTCAGATTTGCGACCGTCCCTCTGATGAGTCAGGGTCTGAATAGTACACCTGTGCATGATTTTACGTGTATGACTGACTAACTGATAAGTTAGTACTTAGGTGTTGTTTTGGTGTATTTATCGTCACTGGTTTTAGTTTACGTCTAAGAAGTATCGGTTCGGATATCTTGAGACCTATAAGCCACAAAGATAAAATGCCTGCAGGGAACTATTTCGTTTGGGTCTGAATGGTTAAGTAAAACTGCGTTTGTACTTGATTATTGCACCTTGCTATCAATTAGGGTAAAAAAATGTTTCATACGAGTGTTTAGTCCTAGAAGCAGTGATAGAAAATCAGACTACTAATATGATAGTGCACTTTTTAAATCAGTCTTATACTATCCCACTACATTGGGCGAAAATTTAGATCACCCTAACTCGTTTCTGAAGTCTTAGCTTTGACCGGAAATTTGTGAAACCTCAGTCAAGCGATTTTGTGGTCGTTACCACAGAAAGGAGTAGTGATATATCCTCGGAAGTGTCTGTTAGTTGCAACTCTGAGCGATTTTGAGTGAGTGTTCGCTGTTTCAGTCTAATCTATCTGTTGTGGATGTCTGCTGTATTCATAGGTCCAAAACATATCCTACCATTTAAATGCTCACTTGGCACTGTCGGCTTCCGTTTCAACAATTTAATTAAATTATAGCGTACAACCATTCCAAAAGTCAGTCCGGTACATGTGTGTAGTGAAATGCCTCGATTGGACGCGGTAAGTTCGGGCTTGTCAAGAAATATTGGGTAGTGGAAACAACTCAAAGTGGCTTTGCAAAACTTAGCGTCATGTCATCGGATATCTGGATTTCCATTAGCTCCATGTGAGCTAGCTGTAGATTACTGCGATGAAATGGTGAACTAAGAAGTACTGCTGGAATGCATAAGTATTTAGGTGAAACTCTTATTAGCCAATTGATTTACGTAGTCCGAAAGGGAATGCACGTGGTCACACGCTCTCTTAAAAAGATGTCTTGTTATTCTTATCAGCAGTAAAGATAACCAGATCGATTGCTTTATTCACTGGGATCTGATCTATTGACGTAAACAGTGATAATGATGTCACTATATCCTATCAATTTTGATTTATAAGTGAGCTGAGCTTAATCCTCCTGTACTCTTTGTCGCATGCGTTACTTCACACTGTTGAACTAAGTGATGACAAACACTGGAACTGTGGTTCTGACTAGCTCATACGTTTGGAATAATTTTTCCACAACTAAGTAAATTATAAGTACGATTGTGTAGCTTAATTGAAGTTGAAAAGGAAATTTCTCTTTATCAACGACATGATAGATCTATTTCGTTACCATTTTATTCAATTCGGATTTCTACTGTTTGTATATGGTCCGTGATTATTGTCATAACACAAAGATGGCTGTGGTAAGGTTAATTCGGTTGTAATTCTCACTTAAGTATGTAGCATCGTATAGAACTTATTAAGCAGCAATATAGTGGTTGATCTCAACTAAGAGTGCAGTGAAGAGTTACGAAAAAGGAAGCGTGGTTACATAAAGATAAATGCATCAAGAATACCATTAGCATTATTGTTATAAGTGTACCGAAATGAAACGAAGGTACGATACGTAGCTACTGCCCCATAATGCCCTAGTACGGCCGAGAGTGGGTAGAGTCCGCCCATCCTCTCGAAATGCTCTCATATGACCACGCGTATATAGCGTCTGCCAGGGAAGTCCTGCTCACCGCCTTGTAGCGGGGGTGTTGTCTACGAAATTGAGAGGACGAAAAGCGAAGTTTTGGCGCTTAAACCAGGTTGGTGGACACGGAGGGTCTACCTAGGGGAGTTGGGAAACCCTGATTCCAAACCAATGGTGCAGATTGGCTTCAGGAACCTGAGAAAACAAATGGCATATGAACCAATCGTTGGTCACCGGCTACTGTGGGACTGCATCTCCTAACGTTGCTCCTCTACCTTGTGGATTAATCCTTCAGGTTGAAGGCTCCGGGTGTGGCCACATATGAAGACCACCTGCTTCGGTCTGGGCACCTGGACAGTATCACAGCCCTCATACAAATCTAATGAGATGACAATTACTTCACGAATTACTATGCTCGCTTCAATTAGAATTCAGACATCTCACATTCACTTGATAACACATTTTTATTATTATTACCATTATTTTATATACTACGTCACTTATCTGCCTCTATTCTCACTTGATGTATCCCCATTTTTCAACTTATACAGCAGCTCTCCTATGGTGAGAACTCTGTTCTATCTGAACGATCTCGAGTCACTGACTGGTCGAAAGTTGAATGCTTCCACTGAATACGAATACTGAAACAGTCTTTCGGAAACCACGTACACCACTCAAACTGGCTGTCTTCAACGTTCGTACACTAATGCAGGTCGGACAACAGATAAGGCTGGCTGTCTTTAGAAAGTCTTCATATTGACGTTTGTTGTCTATCCGAGACCCGTATTCAAGACTCTAGTGAAGTACTACAAATTCGCTCTCTATCTGTCGCTTCAAAAAGCTTGTTTTACGTGCGTTTATCCGGGGATTCTGTGGCATCTTCGTTTGGTTTTGCTGGTGCTGGTGTCGCACTAAGCGCTAGAGCTGAGGCAGCACTAATCGGTTAGATCCCTTTCAACAGTCGGTTATGTGCTGTTAGATTAAAAAGTTCCATCAAAGTAAGAAGAAATCGGTATGAAAAACGACGTCTTTTCGTCATCACCTATGTCCCGACAGTTTGCAGTCCAGATACTATCAAGAATGAATTTTACCACCAGTTAACTGTTCTGTGCGTCCGACGGATATTGTAGTACTAGCCGGAGACTTGAATGGTCAGGTCGGGCATCTAGGCACAGAAGAGGGTCGTTTAGGTGGCCGATAGGGACTTGATGGCAGAAGGTTAGATAACGGTGACCTGCGGCTTAGCGAAACGTCCCGCTTATAAGCACTGGTTCCTTACAACTTACTGAGGCCCGTCGGTCTAGTCCCGGTGACCGGGGGTTTGACCACAAACGGAGGATGTTACGTAATGAAATTGGACAGAACTTGCGTAAGGAGCGAGAAGCCTGGTGGCCGGAGCGTGCTAACGAGTTGGAAACGGCAGGCTGGTTTTCGTTCTGGTCGAGGATGTATTGATCATATCCTCAACCTCTGCCAAATGTTAGAACACCGTCATATTTATCAAAGGCCAACAATCGTAATGTTTCTTGATATCAGGGCTACCTTCGATTTATTGGACAGAACTGCTCTCTGAGATCGTCTATTGAAAAAGGGTGTGCCTGAGAAGTTTATTAACATTCTAAAGGCCCTATATACAAACACCTCAGGTAGAACAAGGGCATACAACCACCTTTCTCCATTATTCCATTCAAGCAGTGGGGTTAACAGGGTTGCATAATCTCACCATTCCTCTCGAACTTTTCCATCGACGACATTCTGGAAACAGCTCTGATGGGTGTAAGTAATGGCGGTGTAGACCTGTTGCCTGGAGAAAGACTTCTCGACCTTGAGTATGCGGATGATATTGTCTTACTGTGCGATAATGCCCAAGGCATGCAATCCACACTTAATCAGTTGGCAATCAATGTCCGTAGGTATGGTATGTGCTTTGCACCTTCGAAGTGCAAAGTACTTCTACAAGACTGGCAGGATTCTAATCCTGTACTCACTCTGGATGGCGAGCAGATAGAAGTAGTCGAGAAGTTCGTGTATCTAGGTTGCTGCATAAGTGCTGGTGGTGGCGTGAGTGATGAGATCAATTCACGTATAGTGAAAGCCAGAGCGGCTTATGCCAATCTGGGCCACCTTTGGCGCCTTCGTGATATCAGTCTGGCTGTAAAAGGTCGGATCTACAACGTGTCGGTGAGAGCAGTTCTGCTCTGTGCTTGTGAAACCTGGCCTCTCTGAGTTGAGGATGTTAGACGTCTCCCTGTGTTCGATCATCGCTGTCTCCGAAGGATTGCTGACATCCAGTGGCAACACCATGTTAGTAATGCAGAGGTTCGACATCGTGTGTTCGGGCACAGAGATGATAATGCAATTGGTGTCACCATCTTGAAACACCGACTTCGGTGGCTTGGACATGTTCTACGAATGTCGTCCCAGAGAATTCCTCGTCGTGCATTATTTACCGACCCTGGGACTGGTTGGAAAAAGCGGAGAGGTGTTCAGTGTATGACATGGTGTCATGGTATGAAAGAAAGCTGCAAAGGGCTGGCTTCTGTTGATCCTTCACGACTCCCTGGTTGGGGTCCTAGGGATAGTGCAACACAGTGGCTAGAGACGTCATCAGATATGGCTCAGAATAGAAGCCAGTAGCGATCCTGCTGTAACCTTCTTTTACTTTCTTCATAAGAAGTGGCCGTAACTTTTTTAACTGAAAGAATTCTTTGTGATTGTACCTTTCCGTTTCTCTCATTATTATTTCACTACCATGCACTAATTTGTGGTTGTTATTGTTCCTTTTTTCTTTTTATACACACCTTACGTTCTTTATCTCTTCTCATTCTTATTGTTATTGTGTGGCGCATATATATTTGGTGCCCTCTTGTACCAATATTTATGTGTTCAAATAAATAAGTAATAACATAGCTACTAAGTATGTCATATCTTCCATATTGTGATTTCCATATTACAGATAATTCTGATTTAATTCTATTTTAAAGCAAGAGGATTTCATTCCTTTCAAATTGATGTTATGTCAAGTGATAATTTTATTCAAACAACGAATCATTACTTTAAAAA